ACCCCCCACTCAACAGCCTACATGCCTTGGGGCTCCTCTCTGCCACTGTCATCAGCACTCAGCAGCAGCTGAACGCACAGCCCCAGCCCACCACGGACCAGCTCCAGACCAGCCAGGACCTACACACACAGCCCCAACCCCGCACCTGCTCTGGACCTACACACCCATGATTAGCAGCAGCCGCCAGGCAGAAGCTACTGCTGGGCATGGGGGAAAAGCAGCCACTTTCTTCCTTACCATTGCCAGGCACTTCTTGCTGCAGCAGCCCAGAGTCCATTCCTGGGCTGCCTTGCAGCTCCTCTTCACTGCCGGGCACCCTGGAGGGGGCACTGGTAGTGGCGATTATGAAGAGCTGTAGGGTAGCCTGGGCATGGGATCCAGACAGCCGCAACAAGAAGGGTCCAGCAACGATGATGGGGAGGCGGGCATTTTTGCTTTGCACCCAGCAACTTCTGTCTGACCACCAGTACTGCTGCAGGTCTGAAGCAGAAGCAGGGTAGGCTGGGGTGAGGACTGTGTGCGTGGGCGGCTGGTTCATTCTGGCTAGGGTAAGTCCAGAGCGTGTGTAGCGTGGGCCAGGGACAGCTAGGGCTGCGTGTGCAGATCCCCACCAGTCTCCATGGGGCTGGGACCAGCAGTGATGGAAGCATGGAGCTGCTGCTGCCACCACCTGGGTTGCTGAGAAATGGAGTGCAGCTGTGGAGCTGCCCAAGCCCTGTGGCACACGAAGGAGTGGTGGGATGTACCATGGGACAGATGGTGCTTGGGTCAGAAAGGACCCGCTGTGGGCAGGACAAGTCACTTTGTCAGCCGGATCCAGTCCGTGTGCCATATTTTGCCCACTCCCAAGTTTACACCATCACTGTGATTTAACCACTTATGGTCTACCACTTCATTTTGGTTGGACACCTCTGACCTAGAGGATAACAAGCTAATTAGGAACAGTCGAAATTAATTAATTAAGAGCAAACCATGTTTGATTTCCTTCTATGACAAAGTAACTGGCTCTTCGGATGGGGGGGGTGAAGGTAGGAGGAGAGCAGTGGATACGATGCACCTGGACTTTAGCAAGGCTTTTGACACTGCTTCTCATGACATTCCTGTGAGTAAGCTACGGAAATACAGCCTAGATGGAAGTATTGTAAGGTGAATATATAACTGGTTGGATCATCATGATCAAAAGTGCAGAAATCAATGGTTCAATGTTTATTTGAAAGGAGGTATTGAGTGAGGCTTCAAACCTGGGTCTGGAATAGTTTAATATCTTCAATAACGATTTTGTGAATGAGTCCACTGTTAGAAAATATGAAGGACAGAATTAGGACTCAGAATGACTTCGATAAACTGGAAAAATGTTCTGAAATTAATCAAATGAAATTCAATAACAAACAAGGTCAAAGTCCTGCACCCAAGACTGAAGTATGGCCTGCAAAAATACAGAGTGTAAAAAGACTGGCTACACTACAGTACTGCAAAAAAGGATTTAGGGCAGGGGTAGCCAGAGTTACTCACCCTGAGGACCACATCCCATCCTCCACTGAAGTTCAAGAACCAGAGAGCAGCGGGAGGGAACACTGTGCTGGCAACCTACAAGCAGCTTGCAAGCCATGGTTTGGCCACCACTGATTTAGGGGGTCATAGTGAATAAAAGCTAAATACAAGTCAGTGGTGTGCTCTTGCATAATAGGCTGTCTTAACAAGACTGTCACCTGACCCTTGCTACTAGTCAAGAAAAGTGATTTTTTCACTCTGTTATGAGCTACATACATCAGGGGTTTGGTAAACTGTTCACCACGGTGCCCTGGGGGGAAACTAGAAACAATGGGCTACAAAATCCTGAAATATAGTTTCAGGCTGAACATTAGAAAAAAAAAACTTCCTCACAACTAGGGTGTCCAGACTATGGAACAAGCTCCCCCCAGAGGTGGTGCAATCATCTACCCTAGGAGGTCTTCAACAGAAGACTGGATGGTCACCTGGGTGGGGTCACCTGACCCCAGATGTCTTTCCTGCTTATGCAGGGGGCTGGACCTGATGATCCTTCAGGGTTCCTTCCAGCCCTATGAGTCTCTGATTCTAACTAGCAAGGCCTCACCTAGAATACTGCGTGTACTCTCAGCAAGTCTGCAGATGACACCAATCTCGGGGGGAGTAGTAGATACTCTGGAGGGTAGGGATAGAATTCAGAAGGACCGTGACAAATTAAAGGACTGAACCAAAATAAATGTCATGAGGTTCAACAAGGACAAGTGCAAAGTCCTGTACTTAGGACAGAAGAATCCCATGTACCAGTCCAGGCTGGGGGCTGACTGAATGTGAAGCACCTGTGCAGAAAAGGATCTGGGGGTTACAGTGAACAATAAGCTGAATACGAGCCAGCAGTGTGCCTTCATTATCAAGAAGACTAATGGCATACTGGGCTGCATTAGTAGGTGTGCTGCTAGCATGTCAAGAGAGGTGATTATTCCCCTCTATTCAATGCTGATGAGGCCACATCTGGAGTACTGTGTTCAGTTTCCCCCCCCACCACTACAGAAAGGATGTGGACAAATTAGAGACAGTCCAGCAGAGAGCAACAAAATGGGTAGGGGGCTGAGGCACATGACTTTTGAGGAGAGGCTGAGGTAACTGGGGTTATTTTGTTTGCAGAAGAGAAGACTTGAGTGGAGGATATGATAGCAGCCTTCAACTACCTGAAGGGGGACTCAAAAGAAGATGGAGCTAGACTGTTCTCAGTGGTGGCAGATAATAGAACAAGAAGCAATGGTCTCAAGTTGCAGTAAGGGAAGTTTAGGTTAGATATTAGGATGAATTTTCTCACTAGGAGGGTAGTAAAACCCTTGAACAGGTTACCCAGAGAGGTTGTGGAATCTCCATCCTTTGAGGTTTTTAAGACCCGGCTTGAAAAAGCCTTGGCTGGGATGATCTACTTAGGGATGACCCTGCTTTGAGCAGGGGGTTGGACTAGATCTCCTGAGGTTCCTTCCAACCCTAATTTTCTATGATTCTAACCCAAGTTCTTCCAATTTCTAGTCTAGAGAGGAGAAAACAGAAGGGGAATTTGATAGCTGTCTTCAAATACCTGAAGGGTGGTTATAAAGAGGATAGCGACTGATTACTCTGTGGCCAAAAGGGGCAAGACAAGGAGCAATGGTCTTAAACTGCATCAAGGAAAATTTAAGTTAAATATTAATCAGAACTTTGCAACTGTGAGGGTGGTTAAGCACTGGAACAAGCTACTACAGAATTCCCATTCTTGAAAGAGCATGTTAGAAAACATTTGGTATGGAAAGGTTTAGACAGGGATCCTCAAGCAAGGGATTGGACTAGGTTCTCTCACATGATGATGTCCCTTTTAGCACTATTTTTCTATGATGTTATTCTGTTTCAGGGTACACAAAACATAAGTAATGGAAAAGTTTATAACTGAGCACTAATAGCATGTCATTGAGACTACCTAGTTGAGAGCATATAGAAAAATAAAATTAAAATCTGTAATTAGTTTGTTAAAATGCATAAACCTAGACTTTTGTTTAGATGAACAAAACAAATAGCTTTTAGGTTCTAAAACCTTAAGTAACTGAAATTGGCAGTTTTTAGTAGAAATATATACTGTTATATGTTTAAGAAAATACAGGACCAGCAGTCATCCAAAATCACTTTGCACAGTATAGTGATATTTTGCACATCTCTAACAGTGTATATAAGCATACACAGTGCTCTTCAATCTGAAAAAAGAAAAACACTTAGGCTTAGTTTTAAACATGATTATAATTCTTCTGACTTCAATTACATAACTCTCCTGCTTAAAAGTTAATCATATGCTTAAGTGCTTTACTATAATGGGGCTATCATTGCCATCCCTAAACTAGATTTATTCTTTGGGGGAGTTCACAGAGTCACTCATATTTTGACTGATTTTTTCTACAGTGCCCTTAAACTTAGTTTTTCATCTTACTCTTTACAGAATTCCACAGGAAACAGAAATAAAATGTAAATATAAAATAATATTTTACTAAAGACAAATACCATTTTTCAAATAAAGTAAACGGTAATATATAAAAAGACAAATACACAAGAATTATAAACAGTGAAAACACTTATTTGGCAGTTCTTATAAAAAAATTCTGTACTAGTGAAATCTTGCATGTGTACTTTTTATGTAATTTGAATCCATCTAAAACAACAGAAGTATCTCAAAACAACAGTGAAATCACAATTTAACTACTGCATCAGAGAAATTCAACTGTACCAGTCTTGGGAGTGCCATGCCAGTAACTGAGCACACAAGTTTGACAGTCTGTCCATAATGAATGTAGCCATCACGCACTGTGAATTCTTCTCCCTCCGATTCATCATCGTCCACTGCGTGAAGCACACAAAGCATTTTAACTCGTTGATCATTTTATGGCAAGGACATAAAGTGTCACTATAAATACCAAATAACTAACACTGAATTTTTACTTTGAAAAGTTATTAAAAGGGAATACAACATGAAGTTTGGATTAGATGTGCAGTGTTTTATTTTTTACTTACAGAGATGAATGTAAAATGCTCCCCACTGTTGTGAACTGGCATGGAAATTACCTCCTTCTACGTGCAAGTATCGTGTGCTAACTGTTTGGGATCGAAGTCTATTAAATAGTGCCACTTTTGTCCCTGATGCAATACATACTGCAAGAAAAGAATACAGATTTATTGATATTATAAATAGTTTAACATAATGAAATACGGAGAAAATTAATATACTGGGCTCAGACTAACTCCCTCAATAATCTGTAGTTAATTATTTTATAAATTAAACCTTTATGATCCTCTGGAAAAATACTACAAATGACATAATGACTCATTTGCAATTTCTGTTTTCTAAAGATACTATAATTCTCAGTAGTTTGCTTGTGTTGGAAGACACACACACAC